GGCTTGCGGTGCTAGTAAAACGGACAGAAGGCAGATCTTTAATTTTTTGAGAGTTATTTTGTTTTACCGCAAACTCAAGCCCAGTTAATCGACAGGCATATGCTAACTAAGTATCTGAAAGATGTGACCTTCAGTAACAAAAGCAGGCTGTGAAAGAATAAAATGAACAAATTGGCTTTAATACAACTAATCAAAACTTTGCAAAGGACAACAACATGGCAACCAGGGGGCCAACTAGGGAACCGAATGGTTTACTTGGCCTCCACACTCCAGCTTTATTACTGTTTCCCTTGTCAATTAATATTACTTCATTTGGTCTCTTTTGCAAATAATATTAGACACTGCTGCCTGATTCATTCAGATAAATTGTTTGAATGGTTATATCCGGTGACATCTCTTACTTAGAAGTTACCTACAGAATCAGTTACTTATAAAAAGGAATAGCGTGATGCTTGGCCGGCGTTTTAGACGTGTTAGCAAATCCTCCGAAAAGATTTCTGGCTGCACTATCTGACTCATTGATTAGTTGTTCTGTGCAAAGCTATTTCAGGTGATACCTACAAAATTTAGATGGCAAAAAAGGAATTTCACCTTCCTTGTCCAAGTCCTAAATCCAAGATTTCTAGAAAAAGAAACGTTACCAGGATATGGGAAGAAAACATTGCCTCCCTCTAGTCCACTATTCAGTGTTGAAGATGAAGCTGTTTCGTTCAAATACTCAGAGAAGCGACTTTTAGTCGGAACACCCGCTCTCTCCGAATGGAGTGGTACGCGCTTTGTCCAGGGTTTTGTCCATGGTAATCAATGGTACGGCATTCCATGGCTGACAGTTTGACAGTTTGACAGCAATGGTACGCCTCTTACACCTGAGGATCAGGTTTCTTAACACGGTAGTGCTGGTACCCGCGAAATGTTGCAAAAAGAATCAATCGGTCATTCCAGTTGAACAATTACTGATATACGGTAAAAATTTTAATAGTAGGCTGCTGAGCTGCTACTAAGAAAACAGCCCAAAGCAAGATAAGATGGGAAGCGACGTTGTCGGACTTCTGCTCCGGAAGGAAGTAAAAAGTAAAAAGAAGGAAAATAAGAAGATTGTTTTAATATTCTAATGGTATGCAGTTTCTTCGGACCACATTTGAGGATAAAAACTAGAGATAAAGAACGACGTTTCGATCTCTCTGAGATCATTTTCAAGCTTAAAAAAGTAATCAAATTGTTTGCATATATGAGTAAAATTAAGAAATGAGAATTTGAAAAGAGATAAAAATATGTAAATATGCAATAAGCGTTTCAACATGCAAGTGTAACAAACACTAAAATACAAAAGGCTAGATGAGACAATAATAGAACTAAGTTAAAAACAGCAAAAGATAATTATAATAAATGTAAAATATGTATACTTTGCGCTGTAAAGATAACTTTTCGTGGATGGAGTCAGACTGCTTGTTCAAAGTTGGCTTTAGGTTTTAGATCTTTTGTAAAAAGTATCTCATAAATTATGGACTCAAATTTGCGCTGGCCCCTCCTTAAGATCTTAAATCTAAGATCTATGTCACTTAGGTCCCTCCCATGTTACTCTCTGGCGCATGTGTGTGTTGTTTCTCTTGATATTAGCTTTATTGTGAAACAAACGATGTAATAAGGTTTACTTCGCTTTTGTTGCCCAGCATCAACAAAAGAGTTTACACTTGACAGAAGCCAGCTGAGTAGCCGGTTGTGGTGTGAGTGTAAACCATTTCGTCAAGCAATAATTGTAGGGGGCCACATTAGAAAAGAAATTCACCACTGTCCAGAGCGATGTCAATTAGGAAGAAGACAACTATACCATAATCTTTTTGGAATACGAAGGCAAAACCAAGAAAACAACTTTTGCATATAAGAACTGCGTAAAACTTTCTTTATACTCTGTAACAGTGGTCTACTGATCAGCTCACCGAAGGCTGGTACCTGTTCATTGCCCTCTTGGTGATGTTTAGGTCATTTGATTTGATACCTTTTTACCAGGTACAATCGCGCTGAAAAACTACCACTGCAAGTGGTTATAACGGTTGATATTATAACAAATTATCAAAAAGTGGCATAAAAGCCTTTGAAGAAACGTATAACCCTTCTTCAATGTTCAGAAGACCGTCATACGGTGAACACTGAAGAAGGGATATACACCCGAAACGTCTGTTTCTTCAAAGACTTTCATAACACTTGTTGATAATTTGTTATAATACCAACTTATAAGCTATTTAGCTGCAAGTGCCACTCATCTTTAATGGTTTTTCCGTTCACCACTCATGACTTAACGGTTATTAGTAGAATTCTATCTACTAGTATACTAATGCAAATGCTGTAATCTGATTGGTTGAGCCATCGGACACAATCAGCCATGCAGTGGCTGGAGGTCGTCTAGGAAATGGCGACTTTTTTTTTTTTTTTGAAAAAAAACTGATGCGCAAACGCACACAACTTCAATTTTAAATGACAGTTCAATCCTAGCGACCTTTTTCAGGCGCAAAGTTTAATGATACGTCAAGAAATAATTGGAAACCGTTATTTGAGGTAAATTTTAGTAAGAATTCTACTAGAACAATTAGATTACTTGCTCTCGATTTCTATGAGGTGATAGTTGATGAGGCCTTCGCCCTCATCAACTATCACCTCAAAGAAATCTCGACCTCATAATCTAATTGTTAATTATTACACTCTGTAGCGGTGGTCTAATGAGCTCACAGAAGACTGGTACCTAATCATTGTCTTCTTGGTAATGTTTCAGTCATTTGAAATGATGCCTTCTTAATAATAATAATAATAATAATAGTAATAATAATAATAGTAATAATAATAATAGTAATAATAATAGGAATGATGATGATGATCGTTTCCCAAAACTGTTGTTCCCTTACAAAGTTTGATCTTCATCTTGGCAATTAGCCATTTGATTCTGGCTTCAACCCTGTTGTCTATCTAAGGAGAAGGTAAACATGAGATTTTAACAGTTTCTGAAATAAATTTAACTTGCAACCCATTTTTAAGAGCATTACTTTGTGCTTCGCCATCTGTGTTAAGGGAACGCAAAAAAGAAGCCCGAATGTTCCTCTTAATGTAAACTTGAAAGGTTCACTTTGATTTCCGTCATTCCGAGAAATCCATCTTTTCCGCCATCAATCAAAAAAGATTACTATTAGAAGTTATCTTGCAAGTTCCCAAGCATCAATCAACTCTTTTATTTTTTGAAGTCGGAAAAGACGGATTTCCCGGATTTCCCGGAGAACTGACTTACAGTAATTAAGGGAAGTAATATAATACTACTCTTTATATCTGTAAGTATACTTACAGTAAAAAGGGAAGTATTACTGTAAGTCAGTTTCCCGGGATATCCGGAAAATCCGTGGTTTCCACTGTCAAATGTAAGTGTCTTGCATTAATGATTTCATGAACAGTCAATTCATACTGTAAGTTGCCAAGCATTAATCTACTCTGCTTTCTGAAGTTGGAAAACACGGATTTTCCGGATTTCCCGGAGAACTGACTTACAGTAA